TTCAGTGATTGAATCCGAATTTGTGTTTGTCTTAAAAATACATGTAAAATAAATTCTCTCACAATCATAATACTGGATTACAACTTATATAAATATTTCGCAACTTGAATAAATTTTTTTATTAGGATTTGAAATGTATTTGTTTTTAAAGCAAAATGTAATATGAATTCAACGTGATTTCAACCAAATATCAACGTTTGTACAACCGAAAAATTTCAACCAAATCTCAACCTAATTTCAACCAATGTTCACTTTTGTTCAATGTTGATATTTGACGTTGAAACAACGTTGAAGCTTCAACGTTGCATCAACTTTCATTTGCAACCAAAAATCAAACATAAATCAACCAAAAATTCAACCCATTTTCAACGTTTATTCAACGTTGAAATTTGACGTTGAAACAACGTTATGTCTCAACGTTGGCTCAACTTTCATATGCAACCAAAATTCAACGTTGATTCAACGTTGAAGTGCAACGTTGATTCAACGTTGAAATGCCTGCTGGGATGCTAAATCAAAAATTGTTCTAAATGGATAAAATAACCAAGTTTTAATATAAAGAGTTCATATTCATTCTTTAAAGAAAATATACAGGAACAAAAGTCAATGTATGGTAATGCAGAGGAAATTCAGACTTAGTTTTTATTTTTTCATTTAAAAAAAAAATTGATTTCTCCTATATAAATTCCAATATAAAGGTAACGTGTATTTTTAAACATCATTTTGCAAATATTATATGTGTTAAAACTCATAAATTATTTCAAATATTTTGTGATAATTAATAAGTTTATGGCCCAAACTCTAATAATACTGTTATTTGTATGAAGCAACGCTGTTCCTTTGCTACAATACATTGTATTTCATTATTTAAAGAGTTTTGTTGCTTGTAATATTTTGCGAGTAAAGAAAAATTGAGGTATTTTTCCGAGAAATACTCGGGGGCTACAATCATGAAAAGTAGGTCATTGACCTAGTTATTTGAAATTGAAATTTAACACAAAAATCATAGACATACAATGGGTGGTTTTTCTTTCTTATCAGTGGATTTTTTTATCATCTGAGTAAAGGTATACCTAAAGCTCTTGATTTTACAGAAAATAATAGTATTTGAGGTCCAGTACCTTCCATCATTTGACCTGGGCAGTGTCAAAACTGTACAAAAAGACCTGCTTATTCACGTTTTGTACGTGAATCTTACTTTCTTGCCTGTATAATTTATAGTCTGCAAAAGATAATTATCCAGTGGCAGATTGCAAGTACAGATGTCTTTGAATGGCTGCATGCATTTTTATTTAGACTTTGGTATATAAATGATTTTTTCATCTCTTATTAGGCTGAAAATATTTTTTTTGCTTTGACGTGAAAAGAATACACTTGCTGTAGCCTTCAACTCGAATTTTAGATATATCGACCACGTATTTTCAGTTAAAAATGGATATTTCCATTCTTATGTCGACACGATATATCCCAGGGAGCTTGAAATAAAATATATCAGAGTCTGACAAAACTGTTTTATTTTTGGATATTCTACTAGAAAAAGACGTAAATGGTAATCGAACAACAAAGCTTTATGATACTAGTAAACGAGATGACTTTAACTTTTCAATCGTCAACTTCCTACTTGTGTAGCAATATATGATCCTTAACACCTGCATATGGGGTTAATATCTCTCATTTGATTCGAAACGTAGCCTAATGATCTGTGTTTGAACAATTTCTAAAACTAAGTCAATTGACAAAAAAGTTCATGAAACAAGAATATCAGCAGTCTCTTTGAAAGTCATTATTTCGTAATGAAGTCCTATGGTCGATTCAGTGACCTTGTCAAATGCTGCTAGGCCTTTTTCATACTGTTATATTGTTAGGCCATTATTTACACAATATGTTCACGGATTTTTTCGTTTCTTTTCCCGATCATTACAAAGAGCACAAAGCAGGAGTGACCAGTCGGCAGAGGATGCTCACTCTTATACATTGCACCTGATCTAACTGATATTTTAGAGTTCCTTGTTTGCTCTGCTCCTGTTTGCATGTCTGAATAGACTTTTATGCTTAAATACTGTTCGTTATTTCCATTTATTCTATAAACTAATAATCTAAATATCTTAAAAAGACATTTTACAACGAAACTTAACAGAACTTGTTGATTTGTACCGATATTCTTGAATTTTGATATTCTGTTAAGTAAAACAAGAGTTATGAAAATGCTATTTTACTAGGATCAAGTTCAAATTGTATAGCCATAAAATCTTAAATTAAAATGGTTGAAAAATGTTTTGTAATTATCTAAAATTCCAGTTTTGACATTGATGATGAAATACACGCATTACATAAACAATTTCCTTTGATCTGCAGCCCATCTCCTTTCTTTCTATACATATAAGGAGTATTATTATAAAAGGAAGTTACAAAAATTTCGATCTTAAATCCTTTGTATTTAAATGTTTGTACGTTACAATGAAAGAAGTTGAAGCTTGGTGACTGCTTGTTTTTGTGGTAAGTACCAGTTAATCTTTTGCATGTGTTTATTATTGAAAATATGAGCTATGCCCACCAGTCATGCAAAGGCGAGGTGAAGTTACAAGTAGCCAATCGAAAAACTTGGTTAAAAATGATTAGAATAAATTGACACTATCTGAAATGTGCAAATACCCCAAAGAAATTGCGTTCATAGGACTATAGACGCTACTGCTTCTGCTATGAATGCAATTGCTAAATCACACTCGTGTAGTAGGCCGACAAGTTCTACTACACTTATGATACGTGTTGAGAAGTATAATATATGAAATGTTTTGCTAAAGGAATAGATACAAGTTTTTTAATAATATTCTTTGGGAAAAAAAAGAAATTCGGAACATATAAAATTGCTGGTTTACATCCTTTAAAATTTAATTTTGGTCAATGTATTTAATTGTATAATTGAACTTTTTAAAAATTATAGAGAACTGTCACATTTTTTTTCTTATCATATTTTTGCATATTTGTATACAGAACGATAACTCTTCACACTTGGGTAATAACATTCAGAAAAGGCAAAATTTCTTTAATAAGTATATCTATATAAGAACGATTTCAGCTCTTAAAATTAAGTAGAAAAAACTTTAAAAAATATAGAAAAGCATTCTGGAGTTAGCCTATAATCATTAATTTAATATTAAAGCATTTTCATTTTTCATCGTAGTGTTAAATTATGATTTTTGTCAGAAGATTTCAATAGACCCTTTCACGATAACTGCTCTTTTGCAGGGCAAAATGATATAAATGTAATTTGGCGAAATATGACGAAAAAGTCATTGTCTTATATATGTCATTTAATTATTCATCGACAAAAACTTCGCCAAACGTTATTATTTTGCCCTGCAAAAGAGTAGTACCGCAGTTATCGTGAAGGGGCTAATAACGTTGATCTATGATGTCACACCTGCATCAAAACAAAAATTAAAGAGAATGTGGTGATAGCACAGCTTGTATCTAGATAATAACTATGTTTGAGAGGCAAATACTTTATAAATTGTTTGTGATTTATTAGAGAAAAGGTACAATGATCAGGTTTACTGATTTTAAAGCCGTATGTTTAATTTTCTTTACTGAAGACAAAAAGCCGCATCCTTATGTAAGTCAGGATTTCCTCTGATATTCTTGAAAAAAAAAATCAGAGAATGCAAATATAAGTAATGTACAACGATTATTCAGTGAACATGACATTATGAAGAGCAATAGCTCTGCTGGCATATTTTCCATGATGCCCACTAGCGTGCATCATGGAATATGCCAGCAGGGCAATTGCTATTCATAATGTCATGTTCACTGAATAATCGTTGTTTATTTCTAAAATGGTGACTTTTACCTTGCAAACATACCCTCATATCATGCAATATGATTACAGAACATATAAAACTGTCAATCTAAAATAATCAATCAGTGATATTCAGCTTGTGTCTGTGATTTACTGTAAGATAATGCAAGAACACTGGTTATAATAATGTACATTTCTTTACTGTTATGGTGATACTTTCAAAATTCCTTGTTTTTTGAAAGAAATTTACACATTTAATGCAGAATGATAGAAAATAAAGATTATGTCCTAATTTTTGTTACATCGCTTGTCCTTCTATGACTAACGAACTGACCTTAAACTTCCAGCATATGAAAAACAAGATACATGTACAAACTGCCATCGTCCAATCGACGTACTGGTCATCAATTATACATATTTACATTTGCTGATGTCTTTTCTTATATAACAATGCTAATAAAATTGAAATTTAATTTTCAATGACATACACTTGGTCACAAGATCATACTTTCTTGAGTATGGAAAGCAAACTGCACGAGCCATTTGGAAAGTTCCGATTGTGACGTCAACTGACGCCCTAGACACGTTAGGCTGCATTTCCAAAGCAAAGTCTAAATTTGCCTATATTTAAGAAATAAGGTATCATTTTTTGAGTTTTATTGAGATGTAAAACGGGTTGGTCACGTGATCAAATCCCATAAAGCCCGAAGGGCTTTATGGAAGATTTGATCATGTGTCAACCCGTTTTACATCTCAATAAAACTCAAAAAATGATACCTTATTACTTATATTTACATTTGTGACTTATTCATACTTTATATTTGCCTGATTGTTACTTTTAACGTGTGAAATGCGTTAATTTTTCAAACCCAACGGCATGTATGTAATCTACTAAACGCGCGTCGACCCTTTATGACGTCACAGAGAAATTACGTGGAACGTTTATCCAAACGCACATCTATGACCTCTTGACCCCAAACCTGTATTTACACAGTTATAAAAACGCTTGCCTTCAGTAGTGTTATGTAAAGGAAAACATTTGCAAATGTAAATATTTCTTTGTAACACGACTAAATAAGTAAAATATAAATATAAGAAATAAAATATCATTTTTAGAGTTTCACTGGGTATGACATGAAGTCGGTACGTGATCAAATCTACTATAACGCCCTTCGGGCGTTATAGAATTTGATCACGTGACCGACTTCATGTCATACCCAAATGAAACTCTAAAACAGATATTTTATTTCTTAAATGTACATGGTATATGCACTCAGTTATCTAGTTTCTGTTTGACCAGATCAAGTCTAGATGAGTCACAACTCACAAAAGAAAAACGAAAGAGCAATATTTCAAAGCAAACATTTTTACATCATATTAGTAGGATATGCAAATGTACCCTTGTAATCCATAATCTGTTATCTTTTCCTAGCTGTTTCTCTCCTTACTATCATTATTTTAATAAGCAGCAAAGCTTTGAATAAATCTTTGCGATCTTGTCGATTTAAGAAATTGTAGCGCCTGCTGTAGTGAAGTTGAGGGCATTCTCCATCATTTAATATCAAAGATCCAGCTATATTTACAGGGGTATTCCGAATTCTCTCCATTGCTGTGGGATAAACTTTGAGGAAAGTTAATTGTACCTAAAAAAACATTGTAAAAAAGTAAATTCACTCTATTTTCACAAGATTATAAGTACATGCAATGTGTTTAGTAATCATGGTAATTAGTAATAACCATCATCAGACTTCACGGATATTCAGTTTTCTAGGAAATACTGAGTACTTCTTATACTAATGAAATTATTATTTATGAAATAAAGATGTAAAAACCATACATAAAACAACTTTTACATTTAATAAATTTTTGCCTACCCATGTCTTTTCAATGATGAAGCCAAGTATTCTATCCGATATTGGTGACTTGTCTAGATGCACAAAGAGGTCTCCTATGTGTTGTGAAGGAACTACTTGATCACCATTGCGAATTATTTCCTCATCTAGGTTGGAGGTAACTCTGATTTTCTTTTTAGGAGGGTCAAAATCATCACCTTCGTATGTCACAGATTTAATTACCTACATGTGCAATTTTGAAATTGTTTTATTACACCAAACTCAATATCTTCTGTTGCCTTAAAAACATTTATATGACTGTTAGTCTGACAAATTAGTTTTAGGGCCTCATATGTGGAACATGTGACTAGCACGTAGTCAAACTTTCAAAGATGTTCCCTTCGACACAAAATCATATTAATTAAGACATCATTCCCGAATCAGTTAATAAAATATCATTTTCAGGACTGTTGGATCCTTGATAGGAATGAATTCAAATTTAAATAATTTGTTGCCTGCAGCTTAAATCATGAGTTCTTGACTGCTTAAATCAGGACTAATGAGTTCTTACATGAAATAAAACAAGATCTAATTGGTCAAGGTCACCAGTCACTGAAATCTGATAACCAAATCTGAAATCTGAAACCAGATCAGATAAGTTTACCCTCCTTTTATGTTGTTGCTCTGAAAATATTTGAAATCTAGAATATCAAAATCATATATAAATATAAAAGTAACAAATTATATTTTATTTGGATATAATTTTTCATCAAGGCCATTTAGTAGTTGCCTATGATAGGGTTTGGGCATGACAGAGAAAAAGTTTCTCTTAAGTTATCAATTTCTTGGTTGCTTTGAAGTAAATACATCAACAAACTTCAAAATATATTTGTGAAGAAATTGTACTCACCTGACAAACACAAACTGTTCGTTGTTCCCAATTGTCTTGACAACAGACAATGTCAGGTTTAGAGGTCATTGTTCTACCAAGGATCTGAACTTTGTGTGTGATGATGAATGGTTCACTCCTATACAATGGTGAATAGTCACAATTCTAATTGAAAGATATAATTCCCAAATTCTAATATATTTGCAATTTAAAGTTTTTCATTCTGGAAATTGTCTAAAATTAATAAAATGATAAACGCTTCAATAGATATCAACTTAAGCCATGAAATATTTTACTGTTTACAATTTTTTATAGGAATTGTGGCACGCTTAGTCTCAGAATTTCTTCAAACTCTCTATCATAAAAGTGTCAAAATTCTTTGATACTTTTCTCTAAAATCAGGCAAAAATTGGTTGCTATGTGTGTTACAGTTACCATGGCAAGTGCTTACAGAGAATGGCTATTACTAGTATCTTGCTCCCATTTCATTTTTGTGTGCTCCTTTTCTAGATACTATTATTTCTTTCATTTACTCATTCACTACTCAATGCACTTGAGAATTCAGTCTTAATTCAATCATGATTCAATCACTGTTTGATGATGAGAACAGAGTAGAATATTTTTAAATAAATTCTTTCTACAAACACAATACTTATACGTTACCCATAAGAGCTACATATAAATGTATAAATCAACAAAATTTGTGTATTTATCAAGGTCCATGTAATACAAATATGAGAGGTCATAATGTGATTGAAAATAAGTGAAGTACATGTATTATATATGTTCTATTAAGGTTGAAAATGTTATAGATGCTAGGTGCTTACAAATACACTGTACATGCACTAGAAACTGATTACTTACAAAGTCATTAAACCAAATGCCTGCAGCACCTTTTCAAAGAGGACTAGGTATTTCAGCCTCTGTTCAGTTTCATCAGACTTGGTTTGTGATATAATGGAGGAGAGACAGCGGTTGATTTCTGTCAACTTACCTAAAAACCTGCAAGAATATGTGATACCTATAGAAATCCACTATAAAACCTGCTAAAATTAATAAATCATTTGATACCAACATGATCAAGTGAAAGATCACCAAGGAACAACTCATATCTACATGTACATATTTCATGTATTTAGAACAGCTATTTTGGCAAAAAAAAAAAATGAATACAGAAACCAGGGACCTGCCATAAACATAAGTGTTTCACGTTATCATGACGTCAACCTTGCTCAGTACTAAACTTCAATGTAACAAAAAAATCTTCTTACTTTCGATGCTTACTATTGTTGATTACAGACTTCTGACTATTTTAGTATTTGGTGACATGACCTTTAGCTTTACAGACAGCATTTACTCTGTTTGGTAAGGTTTCGTTTAAATTTAGATATTATTTGTCTTTTGTATGTAACATGGTTGTATGCCAACATGTTTGATGAATCAATAAAGAAATTGAATTGAATTGAAATGAATATATACGTTAAGCATGTTAATTAAAGTATAGTGCAATACAATGATCCCTCATATTTTACCAAAAATTAAAATAAATGCAATAATTCATAATAATGAATATATACATCTGATAAAGGAATATCTTTTTTGATATTTTGCTTGTACGTTTTGTTTTTGACCGTATGACCAAATACATGTAATAACTCTGTTTATGGAAAGCAGTCACTGCCTTATAGCAGAACACTACTATTGCATTGTGTCAACCATCCATTACATTATGTCAACTCTTTATGACATTAACCCACACTACTATTGCATTGTGTCAACCTTCCAGTACATTATGTCAACTCTTTATGACATTAACCCACACTACTATTGCATTGTGTCAACCTTCCATTACATTATGTCAACTCTTTATGACATTAACCCACACTACTATTGCATCGTGTTAACTTTCCTTTACATTATGTCAACACTTTATGACATTTACACATAATACAATTATATTTCGTCAACTTGCATTTCGTTATGTTTACTTTTCATGAGATCTTAGTTTTTATTAACTGATGTGAAAAGCTCATGCCATACTGTGCGCACTCTTCTACATTATGTCGATTCACTATTACGTTATGCGAACACGGGTATCCTCAGCCTTTATATGAGCATAACGTATTTTCCGCGTTCCGCACTAAAAATGGCGGGAGAGAAAACCGTCGTAGAAGAGATTCTCAGCGATTTGGGAATGAAATCTTTAAATGAAAACTTTAAGCGACAAATGATTGATAATCTTGAAACGTGCAAAGCCTTAACACTGCGACTGTGAATTAAAGTCACGTCGAAATTCAATGGTGTTTACTTTAATCTCATAATTAAATAAATCAAATATTATGAGTCGTGCAGCAATCATTTTTTTCTTTTTATTTTGATTTTTTTTTATAAAAGTCTTAAACTTTGAAGGACATTGCATTAGTTTCACAATAAGCTTAACTGAATTAAGTTGAAAACTTTTTTCTATAAAACTATTAAGCCTGAGAGCTTCTTCACTTTCCGCCCTTGGTCTCCAACCATATACCGTCCCCCTTCCTTGTTCAAGATTCCCATATCTGCCACTGATATGTGCCCATGCATGCTTACTAAGGCATATTGAATTGATTTAGATGAGCGACTTGTAGATTTTTGTAATAGAATTCTGGCCCTGAAATGATTTTAAACCAGAAGTCTCTGTCGAGACTGAAGCTCTACTGGTTTGAACTTATAGCAAAGGAAGAGAAAGTACTTAAGCAGCTGGGATTTAAAACTTTATAAACAGCATTAAATAGAATAATGATCGTTGATAAAGTCTCTTTATGTTCTTAGTGTAGTCTACTTGTGTACCAAGTAATACTGAAATCAGACAAAAACTGTAGGAGGAGTAGCATTTTGAAACAATTTCACAGATATTTCTATTTTTAGTAACCACGGCAACACCGTTCATCGAAATCAAAAACCGATGCACAAAATTATGTATCTTAGTGTAGTCTACTTGTGTGCCAAGTTAAATTGAAATCAGACCAAAACTGTAGGAGGAGTAGCATTCTGAAACAATTTTACAGAAATTTCTATTTTTAGTAACCACGGCAACATCATTCATCAAAATCAAAATCCGATATACAGAATTATGTATCTTAGTGTATAGTCTACTTGTGTGCCAAGTTATACTGTAATCAGACCAAAACTGTAGGAGGAGTAGCATTTTGAAAGAATTTCACAGAAATTTCTATTTTTAGTAACCACGGCAACACCGCTCATCGAAATCAAAAACCGATACACAGAATTATGTATCTTATTGTATTCTACTTGTTTGCCAACTTATACTGAAATCAGATCAAAACTGTAGGAGGAGTAGCATTTTGAAAGAATTTCACAGAAATTTCTATTTTTAGTAACCACAGCAACACCAGTCATCGAAATCAAAAACCGTTAAACAGAATTATGTACTTTAGTGTAGTCTACTTGTGTGCCAAGTTATACTGAAATCAGACCAAAACTGTAGGAGGAGTAGCATTCTGAAACAATTTTACAGAAATTTCTATTTTTAGTAACCACGGCAACACCGTTCATCGAAATCAAAAACCGATACACAGAATTATGTATCTTAGTGTAGTCTACTTGTGTGCCAAGTTATACTGAAATCAGACCAAAACTGTAGGAGGAGTAGCATTTTGAAAGAATTTCACAGAAATTTCTATTTTTAGTAACCACGGCAACACCGTTCATCGAAATCAAAAATCGATACACAGAATTATGTATCTTAGTGTAGTCTACTTGTGTGCCAAGTTATATTGAAATTAGACCAAAACTGTAGGAGGAGTAGCATTTTGAAAGAATTTCACAGATATTTCTATTTTTAGTAACCACGGCAACACCGTTCATCGAAATCAAAAACCGATACACAGAATTATGTATCTTAGTGTAGTCTACTTGTGTGCCAAGTTATATTGAAGTTAGACCAAAACTGTAGGAGGAGTAGCATTTTGAAAAATTGTTTACAGACAGACGGACAGACAGACGGACAGACGGACGGACGCCGGACGCATTACTATTGCATAAGCTCTTCTGGTCTCTGACCAGTAGAGCTAAAAATTACTAACTCCAGTGACGTAGCATCTTTTTTGAAAGAGGAGGTCAGCCAGAAAAAAAAATCATTTACCCGAAAAAACTTGACAAGCCAAGAAAAAAAAGTCCAAGCCCGAAAATCCTATTTCGGGGAGAGGGGTCCAACTTCGATCAGTCCTATTTTTTTCCCCAGATATTACATTACCCTTAGTGGATTATACTTCAACGTTGGGGTGGGGGTAGTGATGGGGAATCGGGAAAAAATCAGAATCGATTATCGGTAATAATCGGCTGGGCATAATCGATTAATAATCGATTATAATCGAAATTTTGAACTTTAATAAAATTAATATAGAAAAGTCGAAACTTATTCAGATTTCTGTCAGACTTTAAAAAAAAACCATTTACTTACATAAAATATTCAAAAATGTTAATTGAATTTTCTTTTATAAAAAGTGGAAAATAATATTTTGTTTACTTTAAACAATATAGGACTATATAAGACTATTGAAACAGAATGGAAATTTATTTTATTTTTTTTAATAAAGTCCATGCAATGGGTATTTTACTGATATTAGTCCCACCTTTCATTTAATACATGTATATTTTTCTTAAAATTAGTTTTAATTAGTTAAAATAATAAAATTGCAAGTCTTAAAAGTAATTATCCAGAAGTTAGACTTGTATTTATGATAATAATTACGTTTAAAGATTGACTAGACTAATTATGTTTTCCTTTGTATAGTAAAACCTTGCAATATTAGCATTTCCTGGTATTAGTCTAGCCCCATATTTAATCATGGCGGTAAAAGTATCAACAAGACACGGAATCCTTCCATGTTTTCAACGTTCATCACTGCTTTTATGCTCTTTGCTCTTGGATTTGGTAATAAAATTAAAGTATGACAATTTTATTTTTTGTTAGCGATGTCGGCGACATTTATTTTATAATCGATTAGTAGCATCGAAGAGCTCCTAACGACCGACAATCGATTGTCGGCGACAATCGTTCCATCACTAGGTGGGGGCTATACAGTTTCAATGAACATTACATTTTCTATATAGTAAAGTTAAGTCTGGGAAAAGAGGGGGGTTGATATTTGTCCTAATCAATCAGGACCCCCCCCCCCCTTCTTACCAGTCATTAAAACACGGTCGTCAACATTCATTATATACTAGATATACAGCTTTGAGATAATGTAATTGTTGTTTAACATCAGGTAATGAACTTTTGGAATCAACATGATAAAGAGTTAACACAATATAAACCAAATAAGAAAGAGTTGACATAACGTAATTATATATCCACATCACGGAATGGAGTTTTGACATAATGTAATAAAGTATTGATATAATATAAAGATATGTTCACATTATGTTATATACTTTTTACACCACGTAATAAAGCACTGACATAAAGGTAAGATGTGTTCACCTCACATCATGATGCCCTCGCCGTAAAATAAAGATAAATCCATATCACGTAATAATGCTTTGATATAATAGAAATATACACTCTCAAAAAGGAATGGGCTTTTGACTTCATGTTATGATAAGTTTAATTATAAAGCACAATTTACTTGACGTAATGCAATTTTGACCTCACATATTAAAGAAATGAAATAATGTAAAGAAAAATTCATTTCATGCAATAAAGTTTTAACACAATTTAAACACATTATCACTTCACATAATGAATTTTTTACTTCAAGTTATGAAGTGCTGACATAATGAAAGGATGTATTTACTTCATGTAATGCAGCATTGACATGATGTTAAGATATATTTACATCATCTCATAAAAAATGGACATAACGTAAAGATATGTTCACATCACGTAATGATAAATTGACATAATAAATGCATAGTAGTATGCTATAAGGCAGTGATGGCGTTCCATATCTGTTTACTGCAACACATATTTTACAGTTTAACAGGACTACAGTATATTCCTGTAAATGAAGAACAGCCGTATACATGGTATAATTAAATATGTTCAAGGTTTTCACCGCCATATTTCCCCTGGAATTTTATCATACTTACCATTTTGAAACTAAAGGCTCTCTTAAAATTTCGTTCTCCTGTGATTGTGAGCGCAATTTCCATTGAAATTCTGGCGCGAAAGCCTTTTCCACAGGTACGTCTTCTAAACATCCGTAATGAGTTTCAAAATCACAAGCTTTTAAACAACTTTCAATTTCAAGGTGATCTTCCTCAAATAAAGTAAACAAACGCCAATGGTTCACAATAATTTCAAAGATGTCACATTGTTTACATCGCACACCTAGCTTGTCTATGAAACGACTATTCCAATCAGACGTGCTCTTTGGAAATTCGCTGGATTGTGATGATTCACAAACAGACGTTAAATCGGGAAAGTTTTTAGACATGTTAGCTAATATGAAAAATGAATGAAGGGTTATCTGTAGTTCTTTATCACCGTGATTATCGAATTCCACATGGAGCCGCGATCGAGGGTGCACTTCTACTTTCACTTTCTCACCAACGGTTTCAGGTCGAATTGTGCACAAGGTAAGTAACTGCGTAGACGAAAGCCCAGAAGGCTCATTCGTACGAAAGCCCAGAAGGCTCATTCGAGATTCAAGTTTCGAAATACGAGATTCAAAATTCGAGATTCGAAATTCGAGTTTCGAGATTCAAGATCCAGATTAACCAATCAAAAGGCTCATTCGAGATTCGAGGTTCGAAATACGAGATTCGAAATTCGAGATTCGAAATTGGAGTTTCGAGATTCAAAATCCAGATTAACTAATCAAATACGGGTTCAACATTTGATTACTTCCCTTTATTATGTTTTATCTATCAATAAATCGTTTAATATATTTATAACAAATGAGTCATTTGATTAAATTACAATACAAGAAGAGTGTTATATATATTAGAAGGAAAGTTAAGGATGTACAACACACCTACCCCCAAAAAATCCTGTCGTTTAATTTTCGTTATTTTTGTATATTTAGTACATGACTATATCTACTGCATGTATGCATATTTTGGACAAAATCGTTCGAGTGGTTTTTGGACAGGAACTTCCAAAAGTTACCCCCCTTTGGTTGTTTACAAGGAGAGAAAATTTTTAATCAATGAACTACTTAAACCTTGATTTTCAAAAAAGCCATGTTCAAATTTCATTGACTTATTCCTTTAACCATTTAACACTAAAACATGGTCATCTTTTTGATATACATATCATCAAAACAATTTCTAAAGACCTTAAACTGAAAAACTTTAATTATCTAAGCCTTGAAAATTGTGTATTTTTCAAATTCAAGATTTTTTTGTGAAAAAACCTGTCGTTTAATTTTAATAAAAAACTTTCTTTAGGTAGCTGGTAGTAAAAATAATCTTCATAATTTTTTGTATAATTTTTGTACGACCAGTTTTGATTTAATAGCGGAAAATTACCCCCTCCCCCTTTCTCAATAAATCACGTTCCCGCGCGTCTTTCAGACGGGGGTCGATCACTTGGCTATGAATGTACAAATACACATTTAAAAAAAATCAAATTGGAATATTGCTTTCGCTTCAAAAATATATTAAATTACAAATTTAAAAGTTCTCATATGTAAAACGTATTTAAATGTAGATTTATAGGAAATTTTTGAATACCCCTAACACTCCCACCCCTTCCTTTTTTGCGTCGCAGACCAATGTTAGCGTTTGACGAAACGTCGTTTACAGTGCAAATATACTAGTATTTCATTTGAATCCCAGAGGTATGCATTAGTTTTTAAATTAATGAATGCAGAATAAATATTGACTATTGTTTTTATATGTATCAGGAAAAAAATTACTGAAGGCTTTTAGTTTTAAGTCCATATATGTACGCGTTATGCATTCCATAGTCATGAAACCTAGATACGAATTCAAGTTATGTTGAACTTGAATATGTTGATTTTTAATTTTATTTCTTTAATCTTATTTATAAAAAAAATTTTTGTATGTTCAATTCTCCTGTGATATAAATGGAATAATTGTAGTTTCTTTCATGTCATTATAATTTCAAACGAGACAGGATGTGGCCGTGGGGATACATCGACATTTGCGTAGATGTACACCCCTGTTGATATTGTACGTATTCTTTCAATGTCGTTGCTTCTAAAGTTAAAATGAAAATTCCGTATTCGTCCACATAAACTTCAAAATATCAAACATTAAACTCTTCATCTATTTCAATTTATATCAAATCGCACATTGATATTTTTAAAAATCTTATAGGCTACGTTTTGTTTTGATTCGAGGAAATGCGAACCGACATTGCATTGTTGGCAGTGACAGAAAGTCAAACGATTTGCTGCAATAGCCGATATTCATAAATGCAGATAATTTCAGTACTAGTGAACAATTCTTTTCAATTCTATACTTACATTGTGTATATGAGGTCTATAGTATTCAATTCTCGGATTTATCAGGTCTTGCTGTAAATGTATTTCTGTGGAAAACCGTGTATAAAGGGAGGAAAATAAACATCTCCTACATTTGAGTTGTTCCTCTTTGATCAGTTAGGGTCTGAGAACAACATCGATTTTACATTGTAAAAAGTTTTTTTTGTTTGTTTACTGTTGTTTTATTTAATTAAAGAAGAAAAACAATATCTATATCGTAAATGCACAAATTGTAAGGAAGACCATTAATTAATAGGAATGTTATATAGCCAATTGTACATAATGAGAACTTCGGCAATGTAACTAAAATAAAATTTTCAGAATAAAAAAAAATGCTGCGCTTTGATCAAGTTTACAATTTATTGTATATGGAATGAAATGAAATAAACATTAAGGTATGGTATTTTATGTCTATTACTTGCTTTTTACGGAGTTTAATCGGGTTAATTAAAAAATACTTATTGACTGAGTATGGAACGCATGTTAACATACGCATAATCACAGCTAAGCCCCATATCCCATTTTTCTTTAATGATTGAAATACATCGGGATCGTTTTACTCGTCATTTTGACGCTTTATTTTTGACGTTAAATTTGACGTCACGTCAAACGTTCAATTGAAATCGCAAGAGTTATCTCCCCCAGTGTGTTGTACGTCTTTAAATAATCATTTGATTTTTGATCAGCAATATATACTTCAATTTATATTATGACTTCTTAAATATTAAATAGAATACATATATCAGGCAGTGGCGGATTTAGAGGGGGGCTAATTATTTAAATTTCCTTCTAATATATATTTAAATTTCCTTCTAATATATATAAAACCCTCTTTTTTGCATTGTAATTTAATCAAATGACCCATTGGTTATAATTATTTTAAACGATTTCTTGATAGTAAAAACATAATAAAGGGGAGTAATCAAATGTTGAATCCGCTTTTGCTTGGTTAGTTTGGATCTTGAATCTCGAAACTCGTATTTCGAATCTCGAATTTCGAATCTCGTATTTTGAATCTCGAATCTCGAATGAGCCTTCTGGGCTTTCGTAAGTAACAACTGTTCAAACCAAATTGTACCCCATCATAGCCAGCCAAGGGTTTCTGATACGCTACTCTCCCCATGAAGGAGAGTCGTGTATCAGAAACCCTTGGCTAGAGAAGATGCTTGTACTTTATCTGTCTTTATCTATTATAATCTCTCATATCATGAAAAAAGTGCAAAACATAAAAAAAACCCTGCATAAACAGAACTGAATTTATTTATCTCTGGTTGGGGGAGTATTAAAACGAGCCATCAATTTCTCAATAGAGAAAAATATAGTGAGAAGTTGATTTCTCGTTTAATATACCCTCTCAATAGAGAATACCCATGTAATACTATAATAATGCATGTATCATGGGATAATATAAAATATAGGTAAGAATTTTAAAATATATACAGGTACAGTTGTGTGCCAAAAGTGAAGATAATTTTATTTTTTCTTTATAATTTAAATTATTTCATTGAAAACAATATAGTTGTAAAATCACAGTTATGACAACATTTCTTGACAGATTTTATCAAAAATTTCTTGATAATTCAAGAAATTGTTGTAGTTAAAAAAAAAACCAATAGTTTTTAACTGATAAGCATTGATAATTTAAAAATATTGTAATTTAAGCGTGACATGAATTTTTGTCATATACTCACAATGAATTATATAGTCAATATAACTGATCTTGAATTTTAGAACTGATGTTTAGTGATGAGCTATATTTTAATATTATACTTTCATGTAAATTACTTGAATCTGATTCGTCGAGAAACATTTGGTAAAAAACACTACTATGCGCTGAATAATGAAGCCACGCCCTCCTGCGTAGCAACAGTCAACATTGCTTGACGACGGGCGGTATTACAAAAAATAGCGACTGCGCGGAATTTATGCGCACACGGTTCACTGTAGTATGTATTTGTATAAAACATTCAGTATAATATAATAAATATTGCATGTAGTTGAGTGTAACATTGAAAATTTTCACCCCTCGAAAACCTCGGTTGACAATGGTTTTCTTGGGGTGAAAATTTTCAATGTTACACTCAACTACATGCAATATTTATATACTAGATATTAAACGTGTAATGATCTTTTAAAGAAAGATAACTACACATTTACTGAAATAAAAAATTGGATTGTACAAAAATTTACCATTTACCTATGATTTTACAAAATGTTGTTTTCAATGAAATATACTGAAAAAAAAGAAACGCAGGGTAGCATAATTTTCGATAAAAATTTGACCACATGACCAAAAATTACGAAAATTGGTCAAATGGGAAATTTAGTTACTGTGCATCAAAATCAGTATTCAGAATTACTCAACCGTAAAATTTATGACGTCACGTAGGGAAAACGCTAAAAAGCCCAAAACACGTGCAATTTGATAACGACGAGTTTGTCAACAAATCTTGTTGCATTATTTGATGCATATGAGGTTTGCACATCGTTTTTCAATATTAAGAGACATTATGAATTTATTGCCATCTTGGCACAGTTTACGAAAGTTCAATGGGGTCTTGTTTTCGAATTGCCTAATTAATGAAAAAGGCAACAACGGTTTACTAAGCAGTCTCTTGTAAATTTTCCCCCATAAAACGTTTAAGCCGTTGTCAGAGAGGGTCTGGAGTGGTTTTCAATCAACCGTGACGATAACGGTAACGCGAAACAGAGTCATGTTACGAGCGGGTTATTCGTCCTGCCATCTCTTAAATCGCCACCTTACTACCACAGAAACAGACATTTATAGAGTAGATGATTTTAATCATTGCATTCATACGAAATTTGAAAGAAAACAATTCTGCAATTTGGTTTTTTGAGCCAGTCAACTTACGGTTGTATTCCTCTCACTGGCGCATGCGCGCGCCGCTTGACTTATTTTTTGCGTGGTTACCCACGCTAAATATAGCCAGGATTTGAAAATTAAACACTCTGATGAAATTCCGTGCAAAGGAGAAATAAGGCTCTGACAAATGCACGAGATAGACATTGAAGATAATGAGAGTTTTCGATTTTCACTTTTGGGGGGTATCGTTATTTGAGCTTCAATAACTTATGAATAATTAGACAAAATCTTATAAGATTTGGTTA